CAGCACGTGGAGGATCTCAGCAAGCGATTCAAATCAATAGAGTTCAGGTATATCCCGCGGTGTCACAATGAACTAGCCCATGCACTTGCCACCTTAGCTTCGATGTTACCTTACCCAGGCAATGCCCACATCGATCCCTTGGAAATCCAAATCAGGGAAAGACACGGTTACTGTAGTGTAATCGAGGTAGGACCAAGTACCCAGCCATGGTACCATGATGTTAAGAGGTTCTTGAAAACACAAGAATACCCCGAACATGCTACTGGAGATCAAAAGAGAACTATTAGGCGGCATGCGAGTGGATTCTTTTTGAGCGGCGAGGTATTGTATAAAAGAACCCCGGATCTCAATTTGTGGAAATGTGTTGACGCCGAAGAGTCTGGAAGAATCATGCATTAGGTACACGCGGGAGTATGGGGGCCCCACATGAACGGGTATGTTTTAGCAAAGAAAATCCTTCGAGCGGGTTATTACTGGATGACCATGGAAAAGGACTGTTTTAGTTTCGTTCGAAAGTGTCATCAGTGTCAGGTGCACGGTGATTTGATTCATGCACCTCCCACAGAACTGCATCCCATGTCTGCACCTTGGCCATTTGTTGTTTGGGGCATGGACGTCATTGGGCCAATCGAGCCAAAAGCCTCAAATGGACACAGATTCATATTGGTCGCTATTGATTACTTCACAAAATGGGTCGAAGCTGTCACTCTCAAATCGGTCACTAAGAAAGCCGTGGTGGATTTTGTACATTCAAATCTTATCTGTCGTTTCGGTATTCCTGCAACTATCATCACAGATAACGCGGCAAACCTGAATAGTCACTTGATGGAGGATGTATGCGAACAGTTCAAAATAACGCATAGGAACTCCACTCCTTATCGGCCCAAGGCCAATGGCGTTGTTGAAGCAGCAAACAAAAACATCAAGAAGATTTTGAGGAAGACAATCCAGAGTTCCAGACAATGGCATAAACATTTACCTTTTGCCTTGCTGGGATATCGCACTACAGTACGCACATCAGTAGGGGCAACCCCATACTTGTTAGTTTATGGGACCGAGGCTGTGATACCGGCAGAGGTAGAAATTCCTTCGCTCTGAACCATTGTTGAAGCAGAGATTGAAGATAACGAATGGGTTAAGACTCGATTAGAGCAATTGACCTTAATTGATGAAAAGCGAATGGCTGCGGTCTGTCACAGGTAGTTATACCAACAAATAATGGCCCGCGCTTACAACAAGAAGGTGCGACCCAAGAATTTTGAAGTAGGTCAACTAGTGTTAAGACGCATTCTTCCACATCACCAGGAAGCGAAAGGAAAATTTGCTCCTAATTGGAAAGGTCCGTACATCATCAGAAAGATATTGCCAAGAGGAGCATTGTATCTGGGTGATATTAAAGGAAATGATCCTGAAACAGTTGTGAACGCGGATGCAGTCAAAAGGTACTATGTCTGAGTTTACTTCAGTGATGTGTTGGCACATTTGAGATGATGAAGGCTTTATTCCCGCTACCCAAACACTATCAACTCTTTCTACAAAACCTTTAAGCCGGTTACATTTCTTTGGCTACTCTCTTTGGAATCCAAAAAAAAAGAAACAATTGATTTGCCTGAACTACATCTGACTTGATTCCAAAAGGATACGTAGGTAGCCTCTCTCTGGGGTTCAGTCACACCAAAATAAAAATCCAAATTCCCTCAAAATGAAACTGGAGCAGATGTTATAATGGTCCCGCGGTAATACCGTTTTGAATGGTTCCAAAGTTGTAAATTGATCCAAATCATTTTTACCCAAATCCTTTCAAGTACTTACGATCAATCAGTGAGAGTGGTCAAGGATCAGAGGATACAACCACTTGGATCCGAGGCAAGAAAATGAGAGAAATAAAACGAGAGAGTCTTATTGGTGAAAACCCACATGGGCACCGTAAGGCAATGGCGAGCAGAGAAATCGAAAATGAGAGAGCTTGTGTAGTAAAAACTCGCAAAGAGTGCTATTAGGCGACAGTGAGAAGAGAAATGAGAGAGGTCAACTAGCGAAAACCCGCAAAGGGAGCTGTCGGCCGAAAAGATGATTTCACCTCAGAAAGTTCTGGCAAGGTTCCCTGGTTTGGAAGCATAGATCAGTTTGGTTGATGAGAAAATGCAAGTTCGTGAGGTTCGGGCATCCAGTCCGAAAAGCATGTCATGTCAATTTAAAGCCAGCATGCGCCTTAGATAAGTCTTTCTTTTCCCCCCGAAAGGGACGCTTCTCTTTTAAATTCATTTTTTCGCTCTTTGTTTACCTTTCTTTGAATCCCTTTCGGCTTAACCCTAAATTCCAAAACGTGCTAGAAAGAAAAGGTGGCAGGACCGGTTTCACAGAGCTCCGTCAAGCAAGAAGTAAAGAAAATATCCAGCCTCAGTGGTGCGTCAGTCCAATCCCGACTGATCATGATGTTGATTACCTCCAAAGTAAAGGCATTAAAAAAAATCCCCAATGAGATCTGCCCCAGTAAAGATCCCCAAGCAGAATGAGATGAAAGAACCAAAGCCTTACACAGGCGAATCATCATGAAATCCTGAAATCCGAGTCTTATCAGTTTGAAAGGGGGTCGCCTTTGAAGCTAATCGATGGCAAAGTTTCTCAACAGAAATGAGGCCGGGACCAAGCAATTGGAATGATCAAGGCCACCGAAACTACCACCGTTTTCAAACTAACAATTGTTCTTTGTTTGGAAAATTGAAACAGGTGCAATCCAAAGCAACCGTGCAAGAAGCAGGTGCAACCAAAAGGGAAAAGAAATGCACAAGTGCAAGAAATAGCTTTGCAGCAAGGAATCAACCCAAAAGGGAAGTTTCCTCCAAATTCTTTCCTGCATTTTTACTAAACAAAAAAAAATAAAAATAAAAAAATAAAAACGTAAAGAGAAATAAGAAGAAAATTCCAAAAAGGGGTTAGTTTAGAATCCCCAATATCAACCTATTTTTTTACCAATATTAGGGCTCCAATCCCTAAGTTGAGATTTTAGACATAAGACCTCCATTCCGTAGTTACCTTTGCCAACATTAGGGCTCCAATCCCTGAGTTGAGATTAGACATAGGGCCTCCATTCCCTAGTCGCCTTTACCAATATTAGGGCTCCAATCCCTGAGTTGAGATTTTAGACATAGGGCCTCCATTCCCTAGTC